ATCAAAGAAGAAGAAGGCTTGCGGTTATGAGTTAGTTAAAAGTCTATACTCCACTTAGTTACCAATACACATAAGGACATCCTCTGTGGTGTATTAAAGACGGGTAAAAGATGTCTAAACCGGCCTTTACTACGATATAAAGATGTGTGCAAGCGCGACATGAATGCTACATGTACTGAGGTGGACTAGTGGGTACGCAAATTTCATGAACCGTGTTGTGTGGAGGGGGCACGCCAGGAAGGGAATGAGAAAGAAGGAAAAAAAAAATAATTGCAGAAAGGATAAGGGGTGAGCGTCTAAGAAAAAAAAAAAAAAAGACTAAACACAAATGTTGACAACAATGGTCCTGAAATCCTATGCAATAACTGTGTAAGACTTTTCTTATCGCGAGTGGGTCTTGCTAGTCATACTCGCCATTGCCATGAGCTGCGAGTCCCATGCTTCCTCATAGCGCAATTTAACACTATTGTTTGGAAATACGGAAAAGTCCCAATCATATCATCACAGTAGCTACAGAAGAATAGGCGAAAGAGGAGGCGGGGGAGAGGAATTAGTAGATGGAGGGGAAAGAGGGTGATTAGAGGACGGAAAAGATAAACAGGAGGGGAAAATGAATAGAAGGAGAAAGGGAACAAGGAACTATAAGATTATTAAAAAGGAGACGAAAAAACAGTACGAAGGAGGGAGAAGGAAAATAATATGACGGCGACTGCGCAGGCTAAGGAAGATTATAGAGCTAAATCAAAATACTTTTTCCCTATTAACCTTGATTTTGTCTCCTCTGTCTTTCTTCATTGATTACATTTGTGAACGACCTAAGTAATGAACACACTTAGATACACACGTGTGCGTGACAATTTCTATATTTTAAAACCTACAAACAAAAGCCTTTACTCAGTTCCGGAAGTGGAAACCAGATCTGCACAAGTACCCAAATCCCCGACAAAATCCTCCTTGACATACGGGCATGTTCTATGTCGTTGGCACAATGTTAAGTTAACCGGTTGTGCGTTATTTCTCCATCGACTCAATGGGATCGTAATGCACTGCAATTAATTAACAATCAGCCTGCTTGAATTCCTTCCGTTTCCGTTCATTTTGGAAGGTTTTTTATTCTTATTGTTTGCATGTTTTTCCCCCCAGGGATTTGTATATATGTGAGTATTTTATAGTAGTGAAGCATTTAGTACTAAGGGCCAGTGTGTGTATGTGTGTGCTTTTCTTTTTTGGTCACCGGTAACTATGCCATCCCTATGTGGGATGCTATTTTTCGTTATTTTAAGCCAGGCTTTTGCCAGGGGCCGTAAATATAGCCGGGCCATAAGTATGGCTTAACCTCTGAACGGGGTTTCTGGGACCTCTTCACGGGTGAACCTCATCCGCATGGTGGCACTTTGTGTCACTGGGTGTTTATCGTTTTGTGTGATGTCCTGGTGGGGTACAACATACATACATACATACATACACACATACATACTTCGGACAGCGGTATGAAAGTCACACCATAAAGAGAATGAGGCCTCTCTCTCTCTCACAAAATTTTCAAGTGGTCGACTTCTTTGTACCATGCATTACATAATATGGCTTTATCTGTCTGTACAGCGACTACTTGTCCATTAAAAGTGTAACAAAAAGCATGACACTGCAGCGTCGGAGACTACCCCCAGGGATCTCCCAAACAAGAACATCTGTGAACCGAAGAATCAACCCCAAAGATTGCAGTAGTGGATGCAAATATCCTCTGCAGCTAAGTCCCATTAGGCATGCATCACCACACGGAACATTCATTCGTCGATACATTTCTATAAGTTTCACATGCGCTTTGATTTAAACATGGATACCAGAATGCTGCTCATTAGCGGTGTATGTTAAAAGTGGGCGGGTCATCTTTCAACTGTTAATTATGAAGTTATTGTGTTCGTCTGCATTGTGATATCACGTGCTTAACACTCTTGACATTCTCAACAAAACTATTGACAGATTACAAGACAAAGACATGGCTACTGAAATTTTTGTCGCACTTTTATAGTTTTTATTTTGAAGCCCCTCATATGTGTATATGTATGTCATGTTTGTATGTATGTATGTGTGCTAAGTCATTAGATAACCAGGGGCAGTAATCGCCGCTGCTATTATGAAAATTGTTTAGCAGAGATTGACATCAGGAGGGGGAATAACATTAGTAAGTGACACCAAATGTATCACAAGTGTATGATGTAACAGTCGCTCAGAGTGATGTGATATCCATATGTTGACTACAGATGATCTGAAGCGGTGACTTGTGAAGCATACGAATCTTCATCTAATAGTAAAGCTGCAGCAGGATAAACCCATTTCTGCTGTGTGGGGTCAGTAGAGTTGGCGGTCGTGTAATACTCTATTATCATTACCTGCATCGTCGGTTAGGGACTTTCCCAGCATCGCCGACAGTTGTATCTTTAATAGAGCGCTAATTACACAATGTTTGAGTGTTGAATTAAGAATCCATATCACTCGGGACACTCCTCATAAGCGCTCTGTCCCCATCTTCAACAGCAAGCGAAGAGTTAAAATTACGATTGCACTAGTAACCGTCTGATTGTATATCCGTCTCGCATTCTCTTTGGGTGTCAAGCGTCGGCCAGATCCCCTTGTGACTCCTCGCTGTGCCATTATGCTCAGACCGTAATGATCTATCTGCGGCTCGGCACTGTTCACTCGCTCTCAAAGGGCCCTCACAACATCCATCATGCAGAATTAGCTAGTCTATCCGCCTGCTCATTTCCCAAAACACCGGCATTACATGGAGAAAATATCTAAAGGATGCTAACTAACTACACGGGACCTTTAAAGTGATGCTTGCAATAAATTAACCAACTTTACCAATGAAACCAAACCTGAGGTATACAGTAGAAACCAGGATGAGGACATTAAAAACATGTGTTAAAGTCGTCGACGTAGTCGACATTGACTTTCAAAACACAAAACAGACCTATAAAGAATAGTTAGTTGCGTATGATTTACAGGACGTCGCAGAACGAGGGCCACAATTGTCTTGGCTGTTTTGTTTTGTCTAGGTAAGTTTGCCATTTGCACTAAACGGTCTACTCTCGATGCTACTACCGAAACCAACGCAGACGGTCTGCTGGCAAATTGACTACAGTTGGAACCGAAACCCGCACCCCAGCATTACGACATGCGTTCGCAACGCATAGGCCACAGACGCCTTGCAAGCATCTGAAACATAAAAAGACGCCGTACTTATTTCTCGGTCGTGCCCGTTTTCTTATCCTTTCAATATCTCAGTCGACACCAAGGCGTAATCGCACACCAATGCGCTAAAGTGCACCTCTCAATATAGAGCTTAACAATCATAAACGTGTCAGTCGGGTAACTAAATAAGAAGAAACTCCACAGGGGAGCATGTACAGCAGGAGTCTACCAATCATCAGTAGAAGTAACCTCTCGTCGACAAATGTTTCCGCCCACGAGCTTCTAGACATTTTCAGAGAGTGGGCCCACCTGAGTTCACGAGGCTCAGGGTTGATTTTCTCCTGCTGCACGTATTACCGGATGTTATCGGACATTGACAAGACGAATTGGTGACTTTGTAAAAGGTACTGTGAGATATGAAGTCGTTGCGGTAGCATAATTGGAGCAGTCAGCTTACCTGGACGACCAAGTGGCAAGCTTACGTTTGGTTTACCGGACACATGTTGAACTTTGTTGGCAGGTGGCAGAGGGACACTGGCAGACAATTCGGACACGATGGACTTGTAAGGGATAAGACATTCGTTTCCACTAATATAATCCTACAATCATAAATATATTCCTCTTTCTCTTGTGTTTAGTGAGTGCGTGTGTGTGTGTGGTTGTTTGTGCATGTGTGGGCTGGAGACGTAAGGAGAGGGAAGCGGGAAAGCCGTCCAGGTTAACTGTCTCTTGTTTTTCTTTGTCTTCTTGTGTGTGTGTGTGTGTGTGTGTGTGCGTGTGTGTGCGTGTGTCTGTATGTGTGTGCGTGTGTGCGCGCGTGTGTGTTTGAAATGTATAGATATCGGAATATCTTATAACTTTAATTCAGTCTATATTATTTTAACTCTGCCAATGTCGCTCTGATATAACTATTTTGTTTAATCATGAGCTATTGACTGCACAACCTTTTAATAAGATAAAATAAACTTAATCATATTCAGTCAGTAAAATGTATTTAATCAATTTACGTAATGAAAAATGTTTTAATGCGTTACAGGAAAAGAAGCGAGGTTCCGCTTAATGAATCATATCAGTTCATTTTAAATCATCCATTAGGTGCACCCTCACCACACATTTATTGGTTACTCTTTGAATAGTGTAAATGGCTTTTCCTGTGTAAAGGGAGCGGGGCATGCGGTGGGGGCGTGGGGTTTACGCTTTTTTTTTATTCGTTTTATCCCAATGGCGACATTGGGCAAGCTGTTTTCTTTTTCTTCTTTTTCTTCTACTTATCCTACTTTTTCTTCTTCTTCTTCTTCTTCTTCTTCTTCTTCTTCTTCTTCTTCTTCTTCTTCTTCTTCTTCTTCTTCTTCTTCTTCTTCTTCTTCTTCTTCTTCTTCTTCTTCTACTACTACTACTTCTTCTACTTCTTCTTTTTCTTCCTCTTCTTCTTCTTCTTCCTCTTCTTCTTCTTCTTCTTCTTCTTCTTCTTCTTCTTCTTCTTCTTCTTCTTCTTCTTCTTCTTCTTCTTCTTCTTCTTCAGGAGAAGAAAGAGGCTGAAAATTAACATACGCGTCCATGCGGAGTTCCAACTAGAGATTGGAGTGGACAGAAATGTGGAGGACATGGGGTGAACTGGAAACGATATCAAAGGAAGGGACGACTTTGTAAATGTTGGTAAGAGGCCCAGGCTGCAGTATTAAATAAAGGGCTGGAGTCACACACACACACAAACCATGATTTTATGGCGCTGTTGTTTGAAAAATGAAAAATGAATAAATAATTGAAGTATTCGCTCGATGTATTAACTATTAAGATATTTCCCCCAGGTGCGCCACAGAGGAAGATGGGAGTCTGACACTTCATTATCACAGTTCCCGGTCGGGTTACCATCCTTTAGTTAAAGGTAAGTTAATACAGGTATCTACACAACAAAATACATACTTAACTACCTCGCTGTTTGTCTACCTACCTGTCCCTCTCTGCCCATGTGCCCTTTTGATAACATACCTGGGTGTCCGCTTTTCTTTATCTATACTCTCTCTCTCTCTCTCTCTCTCTCTCTCTCTCTCTCTCTCTCTCTCTCTCTCTCTCTCTCTCTTTGTATATATATATATATATATATATATATATATATGTGTGTGTGTGTGTGTGTGTTTGTGTGTGTGTGTGTGTGTGTGTGTGTGTGTGTGTGTGTGTGTGTGTCTGCTCGCCTACCTGCATTTTTTGCCACGCTGTGCTTAAAGATCTCACTCGCCTTCTGGATCTGAAAGAGCTGGTATGGCCAATGTGTGTATGTTTCTGAACGCTGTCTGAGAAACAGAGGTTTCCAGTAAAATAACTGGGCACCCCTTAACATATATGTCTTGTATGCTGTGTGCCTAGCATTGTGTTCATAGATTCCTTCGCTGTTCGCGCTAAACCACTGTAACGTTAAATGTGGCCAGATTCTTTCAATTTCTTAGCAATGTCTGGAGAATACAAGAAGAGATGGACACCTCACCTTAAATATCGTGTATGCTCTGTGTCCAACGTTGTGTTTGGACTCTTCTTCTATGAACCACGCTTTCGTTAACTATTTATTCTAAACCATTATGAAAAGTTAAATCTCTTTGTAGAGTAACTGGACATCGCCGGCCCCCGCCTCCCCCCCCCCCACATACACACACACACACACACACACACACACACATATATATATATATATATATATATATATATATATATGCATTTTTTCTAGTAAATAGGTGCCAGTAAACTGTAGGGATGTCTATTAGAGTAGCACTGAAAACATTGTGCTAAACAAATGCCGATACTAAGTACCACCAGAAAAAATATGGATCTCTTTCTCTCCCTTTCTCTCTCCCTTTCTCTCTCCCTTTCTCTCTCTCTCTCTCTCTCTCTATATATATATATATATACAGTTTTAATCAGCCCTGGTATTCGTATGTACATGGCTACCGACATTTTCTTCGTCTTCTTCTTCTTTTTCTTCTTCTCCTTCTCTTCTTTTTCCTCTTGTTCTTCTTGTTCTTCTTCTTCTTCTTCTTCTTCTTCTTCTTCTTCTTCTTCTTCTTCTTCTTCTTCTTCTTCTTCTTCTTCTTCTTCTTCTTCTTTTTCCTCTTGTTCTTCTTCTTCTTCTTCTTCTTCTTTTTCTTCTTCTTCTTCTTCTTCTTCTTCTTCTTCTTCTTCTTCTTCTTCTTCTTCTTCTTCTTCTTCTTCTTCTTCTTCTTCTTCTTCTTCTTCTTCTTCTTCTGCTTCTTCTGCTTCATCTGCTTCTTCTTTTTTTTCCTCCTCCTCTTCCACCCCCGCTTCTTCCTCCTTTTTTTTTTTAAATTGACCTTTGCCATGCAAATATACATCAACTTTGATGGTGTAACATCGGAGGAGTTTTCAATCAAAAATGGAGTGAAGCAGGGGTGTGTACTTGCTCCTACCCTCTTTGGAATATACTTTTCACTTTTTTTGACACATGCCTTTCGAGATCAGGAGGGTGGTATTTTCTCAGGCTGAAGGCCAAAACCAGGATAAGAAAGGTACTTATCAAAGAGATGCTGTTTGCAGATGATGCAGCAATAACCATCCACTCAGAGGAGAAGCTGCAATATTTATTATCTTCCTTTGCTGATGCGTGCTGTAAATGTGGACTAACAGTCAGCAACAAGAAGAAAAAGGTTATGGTGCAATTTGTCAATGACAGACTACAGTTTACATTGACGGTGAAGAGCTTGAGACAGTACACCATTTTACCTCTCTGGGCTCCACAGTGAATAGTAAACTATCGCTGGACCAAGAAATCAACATCATGATAGGTGAGCCAGCAACAACAATGAGCAGATTGACAAAGATAGTTTGGGAGAACAGAAAGCTCACAATTAAAACAAAAAACCTTGTCTATAAGGCTTGTGTTCTCCTCACTCTGCTTTATGGCAGTGAAACTTGGTCAAGCTATTTGCACCAAGAGAGACAGCTTAATAGATTTCAAATGTGATGCCTAAGAAGAATACATGGCATTAAGTGGCAGGACAAAATCACAAACACTGAGGTACTGGAAAGAGCAGGTACTACAACAGTCTTTTCCATGCTCAGTCTACGAAGGCTCAGGTGGCTGGGTCACACCTGGAGAATGGAGGATGGCGGAGTCCCTAAGGACATCCTTTATGGTGAATTAAAGACAGGAAGAAGATGTCGAGGCCGACCTCTACTACGTTATAAAGATGTATGCAAACGGGACATAATTCATAGAGGTATTGAGGCGGACTCATGGGAACAAAATGCCATGGACCGTGTTGTGTGGAGGGAGCATGCCAGAAAGGGAATGAGAATAATGAAAGAAATTATTGCAGAAAGAATGAGAGCTGAGCGTCTGAAAAGAAACAGATTAAACAAAAATGTTGACAAAAATGGTCCTGAAATCTCATGCTATCATTGTGGAAGACTTTTCTTGACACAGGCGGGTCTTGCTAGTCATACTCACCATGGACTGTGAGTCTCATGCCTCCTCATAGCGCAATATAACACTATCGTCTGGAAAGACGGTAAGGTGCCAATGAATAAATGATATATATATAAATTGCCCTATGTCTGATGCATTTAACGACCCTTTCCTCTTCTTCTAGAACCATGTCAGTATGCCAATAGCATGTCCTTTACAGAACTTTGCTCCCATAACAACCTTCCGGAAAACTTCTGGATCACAAGCAAGATGGCCCTCGTCCGATACACCCGTCTCGAGATCATCCGCCACATTCTGCACTCATCTTCTCTTTGGCCTTCCTCTTCCTGTCTTCTTAGACATGTACCCCTCCATTATAGTTGTCTCTAGACTTTGGTGACATTTCAAATGACCAGCATATTTCAGTTTTCTGTGTTATATCGTCTTTAATAGCCAGCCATCTTCAATATTCAGTTCTTGAAGTATGGGTGCATTTGTTCTTTTCTTACCCATGATATTCTTAGAACCCGTTTATAAAATTTGTATTCAAAGGCATTTGTGCGCTGTTTAGCTTGTTTAGTAAGTGTCCAGGTCTCACAGGCGTATTTTGCAATCGGAAAGATACATGCTCTTAAGATTATAATTTGTTTAGCTGTTCTGTCCCACTCCATAATTTTTTCATTTGTTTTAGTCTTCGAAGAGCAATTGATTGTTGCCGTTTGATTTCTTTCACTGTGTCGCCATTGTTGGTAATCAATGACCCACGATATTTAAAATGTTCAACAACCTTCAATCTTCTAGAACAATGATTTCTATTAATCCGAGATGATACTTTTTTAAAAAATAATGTTGATTCTTGGCTGATTATTAGATTATGTTGATTCTTTTTTGTTTATTAGATAATGTTGATTCTTGGCTGATTATTAGATAATGTTGATTCTTGGCTGAATATTGGATAATGTTGATTCTTGGCTGAATATTGGATGATGTTGATTGTTGGCTGTTTGTTAGAAAATGTTGATTTCTGGCTGTTTGTTAGATAATGTTGATTCTTGGCTGATTACACAGGACTGCTTTGTGCAGTAGCAAGGGAAATATTCAACCAGAAGATAAATATCGAGACAATCAGCTGCGCCTCGGAGGAGATCGAGGCAGGAAGTGACCAAGTCCACGTGATATTTCACGTGACGATTCCTGACCAACCAGAGAGCAGACTGCAGGCAGATACCACAGCACTGCAGAAAGTGTGTCGGCCTAGAAGAGTCAGCCCAGTTGAGGATATTGACAACGAACTGTACGTAATATTGTCTAGTTAATAATATAATGTTATGAATTGACAAAGAACTGTACGTAATATTGTCTAGTTAATAATATAATGTTATGAATTGACAAAGAGCTGTACGTAATATTGTCTAGTTAATAATATAATGTTATGAATTGACAAAGAACTGTACGTAATATTGTCTAGTTAATAATATAATGTTATGAATTGACAAAGAGCTGTACGTAATATTGTCTAGTTAATAATATAATGTTATGAATTGACAACGAACTGTACGTAATATTGTCTAGTTAATAATATAATGTTATGAATTGACAACGAACTGTACGTAATATTGTCTAGTTAATAATATAATGTTATGAATTGACAACGAACTGTACGTAATATTGTCTAGTTAATAATATAATGTTATGAATTGACAACGAACTGTACGTAATATTGTCTAGTTAATAATATAATGTTATGAATTGACAAAGAGCTGTACGTAATATTGTCTAGTTAATAATATAATGTTATGAATTGACAAAGAACTGTACGTAATATTGTCTAGTTAATAATATAATGTTATGAATTGACAAAGAGCTGTACGTAATATTGTCTAGTTAATAATATAATGTTATGAATTGACAACGAACTGTACGTAATATTGTCTAGTTAATAATATAATGTTATGAATTGACAACGAACTGTACGTAATATTGTCTAGTTAATAATATAATGTTATGAATTGACAATGAGCTGTACGTAATATTGTCTAGTTAATAATATAATGTTATGAATTGACAATGAGCTGTACGTAATATTGTCTAGTTAATAATATAATGTTATGAATTGACAAAGAGCTGTACGTAATATTGTCTAGTTAATAATATAATGTTATGAATTGACAAAGAGCTGTACGTAATATTGTCTAGTTAATAATATAATGTTATGAATTGACAACGAACTGTACGTAATATTGTCTAGTTAATAATATAATGTTATGAATTGACAAAGAGCTGTACGTAATATTGTCTAGTTAATAATATAATGTTATGAATTGACAACGAACTGTACGTAATATTGTCTAGTTAATAATATAATGTTATGAATTGACAAAGAGCTGTACGTAATATTGTCTAGTTTAATAATATAATGTTATGAATTGACAAAGAGCTGTACGTAATATTGTCTAGTTAATAATATAATGTTATGAATTGACAACGAACTGTACGTAATATTGTCTAGTTAATAATATAATGTTATGAATTGACAAGAACTGTACGTAATATTGTCTAGTTAATAATATAATGTTATGAATTGACAAAGAGCTGTACGTAATATTGTCTAGTTAATAATATAATGTTATGAATTGACAACGAACTGTACGTAATATTGTCTAGTTAATAATATAATGTTATGAATTGACAACGAACTGTACGTAATATTGTCTAGTTAATAATATAATGTTATGAATTGACAATGAGCTGTACGTAATATTGTCTAGTTAATAATATAATGTTATGAATTGACAATGAGCTGTACGTAATATTGTCTAGTTAATAATATAATGTTATGAATTGACAAAGAGCTGTACGTAATATTGTCTAGTTAATAATATAATGTTATGAATTGACAAAGAGCTGTACGTAATATTGTCTAGTTAATAATATAATGTTATGAATTGACAACGAACTGTACGTAATATTGTCTAGTTAATAATATAATGTTATGAATTGACAAAGAGCTGTACGTAATATTGTCTAGTTAATAATATAATGTTATGAATTGACAACGAACTGTACGTAATATTGTCTAGTTAATAATATAATGTTATGAATTGACAAAGAGCTGTACGTAATATTGTCTAGTTAATAATATAATGTTATGAATTGACAAAGAGCTGTACGTAATATTGTCTAGTTAATAATATAATGTTATGAATTGACAACGAACTGTACGTAATATTGTCTAGTTAATAATATAATGTTATGAATTGACAATGAGCTGTACGTAATATTGTCTTATTATTAATTAATTTCCCCGTGTTGGATCCAGGGCCATGTTAAAGGGAAAACAAGAATAGACCCACTGACCACCCAAAAGCATGTAGTAAGAGTCGACTTATTGGGAGCTTCCTTCAAAGTCTGAGTGCATCTGCCTAAGAGGCAAGCAACCAGCAGTCTGCATACAAGTAAGTCAGATCTGTAAAACGGGTGCACACGCAACACTCAGGTTCTAGAACAAGATTGCAGTCCAGAAGTGGACGAACAACCAGAACTTTCCAACTTTCCACCAGAGTTTACAGCCAGTGAACGCGAAGAAGAAGAAGAAGATAATATAATGTTATGAATTGACAACGAACTGTTCGTTATATCATCTAGTGAATAATGTAATGTTATGAATTGACAATGAACTGTACATTATATCGTCTAGTGAATAATATAATGTTATGAAATAAAATATAGACCAAGAAAAGAGTATCACAGTATGTCCGTGCATTTATAACTTCACAAATAAAATCAGTGGTAACTCATCCACCTTTCGGTTCCCTAACTCTGGGTTTCATTGTCGTTATAAATCTGACTTTTTTATAAGCCAGTCACGAGGCACGAGATAAGCCCTCGTGTGTGTATAAACATGGAAACCCCTTTACTTCTTTTTCTTCTTCTTCTGCCTATCCTTCTTCTTTTTTTTTTCTTCGTCGTCTTCTTCTTCTTCTTCTTCTTCTTCTTCTTCTTCTTCTTCTTCTTCTTCTTCTTCTTCTTCCTCTTCTGCTTCTTTGTCTCTTTCTTCTCAGATCATGGCTGGAGGTGTTGTGTATAAGCCATGGTGAAGGCTAGGAATTGTTTATGTGGACTTCTAGTAATTTCCCCTGATCTCTGCGTAGTAAGATCGGACGCCCGTGTATATTGTTGCACGCTGTTTTAAAAAAAAATTCCATGGCATTTGGAAATCGAAAAGAGTAGCCTAACGGAGCTGCCCAGGCAAAATTTATAGTTAAAAATTTTTCTAAATAAGTTTCAGGATCCTCTTCGTTACTACAGAGTTTGTGCACCGCGCTGTTATTCTTCGGACTCAGGCTTGAGTTGGAAGTAGAGCGGAGCACTTATTAGCTACTACTCTTGTGCCATAATGTTCATCTATTATTGAAACCTAAATCTAAAACTTCTTCTTCTTTTTTTTTTTGTCGTCGACTTCTCCTCTTCCTCTTCCGCCTCCACTTCCACTTGACCTTTTAAATTGACCTTGGCTCCCAAGTTTACCCAACCTCAATGAAATATCCATCCATCTTGTAGCAGGTCCTTTGCAGAACGTCGCTCTCATCACAGTCTGTCTAAAAGAAACTCAGTCGCTTGCCTTATGTACTTTCATACTCAAGGAGCCACTAATATCCTGGGCCATCTTCGTGTCGGTCGGTCCCTGCCCCTCCTTCCTGGTACCATGCATTCAGCTATATTTTTCTCCAATCCGTTGTGGCGCTTGATATGACCAAAATATTTCAGCTGCCGAGACAGGATGCTCTTTATTAGCCAATCTTCTTCGACGTTCAGATCTTTTAAGATGTCAATATTTCTCCTCTTTTTCGTCCAAGATATTCTGAGAATCTTTCTTTAGCATTTCAGCTCAAAAACCCATATTCTCTCTCTCAAGGACGGAAGGTTAGTCCACGACTCACATCCGTATGAAGCCACAGGGAAGACGCATGCTCTTAAAATTCTAATTTTGATCTCCTTGCTGGTGCTAAACCATATACTTTTAAGGGTGTTCAATCTTTGCATTGCTGTGAAATATAGTGCCATGAAATATAGGCAGTAAAGAACACTGGCGTTATTTTGACCGATTCACCCAACGAGATCCGGATGATGTATAAGTCAATTTGCCCGATGCTCCACTGTTGTAGAAATAGTCCCCTTAGGTACTAAATGCAGGGAGATGCGCAATAACTGGTCTATACCGCTGATCTGGTGAATGCAGGCAGTAACTGCCAGTTTTTGCAGAGCTCGAATCACATTCAGTAATTTATCATATTTGTGTTTTCGTGAAATAACAACAGAAACATACTCAACTATGTAAAAACAGGGTCAGAGAGTGATCATCACTGCTGCTTTAGACTCCATCACGAGAAACTAAACTATATTCCTTACATGTTTGCTGCTTTCTTGCAAGAACCTCCATGTAGTCGCTTTATTTGCGTCTATCATGTGATCTCAATTACCCTTTATCAACCATGTCCAACCAACGCCTGTTACTAAAACCTCAATTATCCATTCTCTCGAACACGCTAACACTGATTACCTGCCCTTGCAACATGCAACAACGTCGCGAAGAGTTATGGGCCATGACAGAAGACGTTTGTATGTCCACCCACTTATTCTGAATGTCTACATTTGACGCTACCCTACCGCTCGTTAGTGGATTGCGGGTTGTAAGTGATAGTTATAGAGATAAATTCACAATAATGCTAGCGGCTTGTTATCAACGTGAGATACAATTATCTCAGGTATATTTTTGGCATCTTGTCTACGTCAAGGAATGGAACAGTCGTGTCCATAGTAACTCTTTAATCTTTACTGGCTTTTACGCTCGTGGACGAAAGCGGGAAGTTATATATCCAGTTTCGTCCTTTTTAGGATGAAATTTTTTGTTTGAAGCCCCACCCTGGCTTTTGCCAGGGGCCGCAAAAAGGCAGGCCATAATTATGGCCAATTGTCTGAACGCGGTTTCTGGGACCTCTCCACGGCAATCATCATCCACATGGTGGCACTTTGTGTCATCGGGTGTTTATCGCTTGTGTGATGTACTGGTGTGGTAGAAAGTCAGTCAGTCAGCTGGAAGTTAGTATTATAAAATGTCCTCTTGTGGGAAGCAAATTGATTTATTTTGAAGCCCCATCTCGGCTTTTGCCGGGGGGCCCTAAATATAGCCGGGCTGAACGTGGTTTCCAGGACTTCTTATCCGCGTGGTGGCACTTTGTGTCACCGAGTGTTTATCGCTCATGTGATGTCCTTGTGGGGTACTGAGAGAGAGAGAGAAAGAAAGAGAGAGAGAGAGCGAGAGAATTAAACTTGATAAAACGTACCGCATCACAGTCAGGTGCAATTTTGTTGTATTAAAGCCCACTGTTCCTAGGGGTCCTAAGATAACCCACCCTATGGGTTGAAAGGGGTTTTTCGGACCTGCCCCCTGGGGATCCTCATCCGAATGGCGGTACTTTGCGTCACCACGTGTTTAAGGCTCATTGTAATATCCAGGTGCGGTTGAACGTCAATAAATCAAAGCTTTAACTTTATAAAACGTACTGCGTCCCAATGTTGGACGCACTTTTAAGCCTCACCCTGGCTGTTCCCCGGGGGCCGTAATATAACCAAGCCTATGAGTTGAACGGGTTTTCTAGGACCTGTCCACAAGTGATCCTTATCCGAATGGCGGTAATTTGTGTCACCAGGTGTTTATCTCTCGGTGTGATGTCCTGGTGAAGCCGAACGTCATCGTGAAACCCCAGTCCGGCTGTGCTCGGTGGCCTTAAAATATAACCTTGAGGTAGATTGGGGATTCTCATCAGAATGGTGGCACTTTGTGTCACCGTGTGTTATTGCTAGTTGTGCGGTCCAAGAAATATCTTGCGGAACTAAGACAGCCAGCGTGATACGTCTGTGGCTCTAGGGTTGTGAACGTATTTTGACAATCTCAAAATACCCGCGTCGGAATTCAGTTACTGGTGAGCGTTTTTCATGTGTTTTCACAATGGTATGAGCAAGAAGCTGTCATGGTGCTGTGACTAGACTCTAGCCTCCTAATATGAATTTCGTGGTTCAAACCCGAACCGAGCTCAAAAATATTTTTTAAAGAAATGACCTTGGCTCACACGTTGACCCTGAAGTCATGGGAAATAAAGGCAGCCGGCTACCAACGCCACCCACAGAGTGCCGATTAGTCTAAAAAATATTTAGGTCTGAGTCTGTATGCCGAGTACGCCTAACGGCTTTTACATCTTTACACCTACACTTTTTTTTTTTATAATCACCTCCACACACACTTACACACACACTCACACACACACTCTCTCACACACACACTCTCACACACACACACTTACACACACACACACACACTCACACACACACTCTCTCACACTCACACACGCACACTCACACACACACACACTCTCACACACACACTTACACACACACTCACCAACACACACACGCACACGACACGCCAACACGAAAAAACATTTAATTGTGTTAACAAACACACACACACACGCATACATGCATACCCGGACAACAACCCCCCCCCCCCCCCCCCCCCCCACCCTTCCCTTAATAGTTATAGTTAGCCGAACTGTACAGTCCCCTCAAAATATTTTTTAACCAACATTTTAAACAAGAAAATTATAATTTAAAATGCAGGATACATTTATACCAGTCAGATGTTTGCTTGTATGTTGACTCACGAGAGTATTTTATGGCGAGCTTCAGCAAGGAAAGAGGTCCCAGGGAGGACAGAAAAAGCGCTTTAAGGACACTGAAGACTGCTGTCAATTCTTTTGGCATCAACACAGCGACGTGGGAGGCTGCTGCACAAGACCGTTCTGGATGGCGTACGTCCCTCGGGCATGATGCATCGGCCTGCCAGGCAGCGGGGGTGTACAGGCAGAGAAACTGAGGCAGACTAAAAAGAATGGTACTGCTAATCCCACTCTTACTGCGGCTCCCACCTGTTGTCGGCACTGCTCAAGAACTTTCTGGGTTCATATTGGACTAATCAGCCACCTTCGTTCTCATATCATGACTACTTTGGATAACAGTGGTCTTTGTCACTCGTGACATGTTATGTTGACTTACGAAACTGTTCAACGTGTAGAGCTTGAATCTCCTACTAGTGGGCTTGGATATCGATGTTTGTGCACAAGTCAATATATTGTGTCTGTGTGTGTGTGTCTGTGTGTCTGTGTGTGTGTGTGTGTGTCTGTGTGTGTGTGTGTGTGTCTGTGTGTCTGTGTGTGTGTGTGTGTCTGTGTGACTGTGTGTGTGTGTGTGTGTCTGTGTGTGTCTGTGTGTGTCTGTGTCTGTGTGTGTGTCTGTGTGTGTATGTGTGTGTGTGTTTATGTGTGTGTTTGTGTGTGTGTGTGTCTGTGTCTGTGTGTCTGTGTGTGTGTGTCTGTGTGTGTGTGTGTGTTTGTGTTTGTGTGTGTGTGTTTGTGTTTGTGTGTGTGTGAAAGGCTGATGTTGTTTTCACACCCCTCTCCCCTAATAATACTTTTGCACACACAAAATTCATTTCAGCAATGTGTAGCACTTACTTTCCCAATTGTATTTCATATTTTCACATGATTCCTTACGTTTCGTGGCCCGGGGGGGGGGGGTCATGGGGGGGGGGGGGGGGGGGGGGGGGGGGGGGGGGGGGGATATGTATTTATTTGTGAGCAGATCTGTATTGATTTAAATTTGTCCATTAACATAATACTGAGTTTAAATAGCTTTTTATGTATATATTTATAAATAGTCGGCTCTGTGGCTAAGTCGATGCGAACGCTTCGTAATGCCGGGGTGCCGGGGTCGATCCCAGCTGCGGGCCATGCGCCTTGCGTTGGTTTCGACAGCGGTATCAGGGGGCCGACTGTCCAGTAAGCAATGGCAAACTACTGGACTTAATATTGCCTAGAGAAACCACACAACAGCCAGGGGCTGCTGGGGTTGGTTTTGCAACGTCCTGTAAAGGATACGCAACTAACGATATATATATATACATATATATATACGGCGTAATGCTGACCAGTGCCGTTTGGTCTGTAAAGATATGGGACGCTCTTCCCATATACCCGATGTGCCTAAGGCACGAAAAGGGATCTTTACTTTTTTTTACTTGTATGTATACACACACACTCACACACACATATATACACACACACACATACACACACACATATACACACATATACACATACATACACATACATACATGCGTGCGTACATACACATATATACATGCGTGCACACATACACATACATACATGCGTGCGTACATACACATACATACATGCATGCGTACATACACATATATACATGTGTGCGTTCATACATATATATACATGCGTGCGTACATACACATACATGCGTGCACACATACACATACATACATGCGTGCGTACATACACATACATGCGTGCACACATCACATATATACATGCGTGCACACATACACATATATACATGCGTGCACACATACACATATATACATGCGTGCACACATACACATATATACATGCGTGCGTACATACTCATACATACAATAACCATGCCATTGTCTTCTTACCTTACAATATTGTTGTTAAGGATGTCAAGAGCGTTAACAACGTGCATCATGGTTAAGATGCATATGTTGACGTTTTAATGACCGGCCCACTTCTAATATGCACTAAAGAGGAGCAGCGTTCTGTCAACCGTTTTGGTTGTGTGTGTGTGTGTGTGTGTGTGTGTGTGTGTGTGTGTGTGTTTGTAAAGAAGTGAAACCTATAGACATTCATCGGCAAATGAAGGTCCTGTATTGTGATGCATAAAATTGATTATTGGTATCCGAACAGCCCTATTTGATTTGCAATGTCCTCTTTTATCTTACAGTACTCCAGTCACTTTGAGTAAAGAACAACTATCGTTTGCTTTTCCCTACCACCTGATATTCGACCAGAAACTTCGACTCAGACAGTTTGGTCAAACTATCGCCAGACTGTCTCCAGTGGAACTTAGAGAAGGGATGCAGATATCGTCTGCCTTTCATATTCTTTACCCTCGAATCTCCTTCAATGTCCAGAACATATGCCGGTTTATCAACGCTATTTTCATCATCGCGGTGGGGCCTGAAGCTGCGGAGTATGACGAGCATGGGTTTAGCATGAAAGGTGGGTCGCATTTGTTGTTTTTCAGCTTTGACGTATTTTAATATTTAATTAATACTTAAGGCGCCATCTTCATTAAGTGTACAAGACGTGTCATTAATGAACTCTGAACGAGCAAGACTGGTCGTTTCAGGCTTATAGGGCTATCAAGAAGGAGATTGGAACACCTATAGATCTGTTTGGAGATCTGTTATGATCTTCTTCTTCTTCTTCTTCTTCTTCTTCTTCTTCTTCTTCTTCTTCTTCTTCTTCTTCTTCTTCTTCTTCTTCTTCTTCTTCTTCTTCTTCTTCTTCTTCTTCTTCTTATTCTTCTTCTTCTTCTTCGTCTTCTTCTTCTGCTTCTTTTTCTGTCCTACTGCTTGTGCAACAGACGGGCCAGAAAGGAATTATATACAGTGTCCTTTGTTGTTTGCTAGTTTCATAGCTTGTGCTAATGTAATATTGCGTGTCTGTAGTGCCCCTTAACAATCAAATTACCCTCCTATTGGGCATAGTCCCCATGTTGAGAAACACAAACTGTCCACACACAGAAACAGTAAAGGCGGTCGGCGTGGTGCTGACCACATGATCAGGTGAAGGCTTGGATTTTATTCAAGTGGAATTCTATTAATTCCCCCTGGTATCTGGGTAGTAAGATCGAACGCCCGTGTGCATTGTTGTAAAAAAATCCCTTGGCAGTTGGAAATCATAAAAGAGTAGCCTAACAACGCTGCCCTGGCAAAATGTTTAGTTAAAGATCGACCCAAAGTATTCCAGGATCCTCGCCGATGCAACGGAATTCGTGCACTGTGCTGAGATTGTTTAGACTCAGGCTTGAGTTAGAAGTAGAACTGAGCACTTGAGGGTTGCACCCGTGTGCCATGATGTTGATCAGATGGATAAATAAACATAATTTCAAGTCATCGAAAACAAAGAAAATGCTCGAGCTTCTGCGACAGTCCGATATTCAAGGGGTGTTATGTGTGTGGGATGGGGGTAGGGTTATGGTTAGGATTAGAATCTGTGCCAGCCCCGACCGTCGCAGACATGCCGACAAACAAAGTCTTCCTATCTTCTGCTTCTTCTTCGCGTTCACCAGTTGTAAACTCTGTCGGAAACTTCTGGCTGTTCGTCTACTTCTGAACTGCAGTCCTGTTCCAGAACTTGAGTGTTGCCTATAAGTTCGTTTGACAGATCGGACTCATTTGTATGCAGACTGTTGGTTCATTACCTCTCAGGCAGATGTACTCCGACTTCAAAGAAAGCACCCAGCTAGTCGACTCTTACGACATGCTTTGGGGAGGCAGTGGGTCTATTCTTGTTTTCCATGTAATAGGGCCCCGGAACCGACACGGGGAAGCGTTCATATAATACTTACTGTCTTCGGAGTGTGTTTCCTGGAGAACTTTAAATGTTGAATCCTTTGACATTTAGCTTTTTGCGTTGTCCTTGCAGGCCAAATGATGTGGATGACAGATACGAAGCTGATGATCTTTATTGGCTCTCCTCGATTGATGTCCTTGAAAGAGATGAAGAGACTCAATATGTACATGGCTGATATACCTTTGTATGACGTCACCAGAGAAATGGTTCTGTTGTATCAGCAAAGGAATGCGGAGATAGATATCACGTGAGTAAATATACCTCATTGGCTGTGAACTATATTTGAAGTACATCTTCTCCTGGATGTTCGATCCCAACTGCGGGCCATGCGCCTTGCGTTGGTTTCGACAATGGCATCAAGAAAGCCGACCGTCCAGGGCAATGGCAAACTACTGAACGTAAATTTGCCTAGTAAAACCACACATCAGCCAGTGGCTGTTGGTGTTGGTTCTGCAACGTCCTGTAAAGGATATGCAACTAACCTACCTACTTCTCCAGGATTCACGGCCTGTACGACTTATGACCATCCACACTCACGATCATAAACAGATAAAGTTAAAATAATAATGATAAAATACTAATAAAGAAAGATAACTACATTGACAAGATCGAAAGGTTCATGATACTATTGCCTAGATCATCGTATATAGCATATATAAACAATAGCAAAACATCGTCATCATCAGGTGCCATGCCGACTGGCGTGGGCGATCATGTCTCTTCACAATCTGCGATCTCCTGCAGGATGTATCAGTTCGTGTGCTGAGACACCTCCATGCCACGCAACAAGACACTTCTCTCGTTTTCCTCTTCTAACCCTCCGTTCACAGATCTTTCATGTTCCATTTTCCTCTTCTCATAACATGGCCGAAAAATGATGACTTTCTCCTTTTGATGTCTGTGATAAGTTGTCTTCGGGCTCCTGCCTCTTTCAAAACCTCTTGGTTGCTCTTTTTGGCTGTCCAAGGTATTTCAAGCATTCTTCTATGAAACCATATCTTTAAGGCCTCAAGAAATTGTTTGGCCTGCCTGCCGATTGTCCAGGATTCACATCCATATGTTAAAACCGTGTGAATGTAACAAGCAAGAATTCTTTTTCTAACCTTCAATGATGGAGATGTATTGCATAAGATGTTCTTTATTTCTTCAAAATATTATATACAAATATTATATTTTTGCTTCGTGTACAATTTCTATTACCCCTTAGAATGAGTATTATGTAGCAGGTCCTTTGCAGAATTTTGCTCTCATCACATTCTGCCTAAAACTCGGGCTATCGTTAGCCCCCTCCCCCGACTCGTGTGCTTTCAAATTTCGCTCTCATCACATTCTGCCTAAAACTCAGTCTATCGCTAGCCCCCACCCCCGACTCGTGTGCTTTCAAATTTCGCTCTCATCACATTCTGCCTAAAACTCGGTCTATCGCTAGCTCCCACCCCCGACTCGTGTGCTTTCAAATTTCGCTCTCATCACATTCTGCCTAAAACTCGGTCTATCGCTAGCCCCCACCCCCGACTCGTGTGCTTTCAAATTTCGCTCTCATGCTGTTTTTAGCCAAACTTTCTTGATATTCATATTTTTTTTTTTTTTTTAATGTCAGTGTTTCTTTTCTTCTTTGTTCGTGGTATTCTGGCAATCTTTCTATAACATTTCAGCTTTAAAGTCCATATTTTCTTTCTTGAGGACTGAGAGATAGTTCACGATTCACACCCGTATGTTGCTACAGGGAAGATGCATGCTCTAAAAATGTTTATCTTGATTTCCCTGCTGGTGTTTAACAATAGACTTTTGATGCTGTTTAATCTTTGCATTGCTACTGTCATCCTCCTTTTGATTTCTGTCAAGCAGTCACACTTGCTATTTGCTACAGAGCTTAGATATTCAAAGTTAGTGACATTTATTGTTATTAGAATGAGAATAATTTTGAAAAATGATAACTCGACTTACGACCCAGCTTGACTTACAGCCTATTATTTTGAACGGAACAGTTGTAAGTCGAGGAGACCCTGTATATCATATATCGTCATCAGCATTATCATCATCATGTGCCATACGATAAACGAAATGCTCTTGTCCTGGTTGTACCATGTAGATACACTATCTAAATATGTATCTGTTTGGGGTCTTTCCAGCTGGGTTTTTTTCCCCTCAAGTAACGTTTGTCAAATAGCATTAACTTTTAAAGACCATCACTCATGGTATCCATACATACGTGTGTGTGTGTGTGTGTGTGTGTGTGTGTGTGTGTGTGTGTGTGTGTGTGTGTGTGTGTGTGTGTGTGTGTGTGTGTGTGTGTGTGTGTGTGTGTGTGTGTGTGTGTGTGTGTGTGTGTGTGTGTGTGTAAAGGGCTGGTGGAGTAGGTTGTTAGGCTGGTGTAATTTTGGTTTGGTGACACTTGCGAGCTCAAACTAAAAGATTTACTAACTGGAACTCTCTGCAAGTGCCCAGAGAGTCACGATTGTTTGCAAAGGTTGTATAAGGCACGACACATGGGAAATCTAATTTTTGTTTGGCTTTGCCATTCGCCCTAGGGACATGTAGTCCTGCCTATCGGCTGCGGAACCGTACATGATTCTCAGTGCAATTTAGGTACGGCGGACTGAGTCGAGAGAGATGAACTGGTTCACTGGTTTCGTGTTTTAGCAGTAAGCTCAGTAGGTAGACTGTGTTAAATCTAGATTGTCATGTACATCCTGGCGCGGAGATTTGGATTTTAGGTTGCTGTGAAGTGAAGACGAACTCTCATCTTGATGTATTGTTATCTGTGAAGCACGCTAGTTTTGTGTTCAGTAAAATCAACAAACGTTAAATGTTATTATTATATTTCATTTTGTTTATTCAGAATGGAACTTACAGTACGTGCACATGGTCTGGCTAGGTGCTGCCTATGTGGTTATATTTTGTTGTTGCTGTTTAATTAACTATACACATATTCACTGCCTGGGTCATGAAATATGCTATAACCTCTGCGTGAAAAGAACTCTTGTCATTACTTACATACCCTGGTTTTGCCATCCTGCGAGAAACTACTTATTGGTCCTAACCACATTTCTTTTCTCGTCTGCCTGCTTGTTTGTTCGCTTTTCGCTTTCCGCAAGCTCACATACATACACATTTATCATCGTCCTGTAACACTGCATGGTCAGCAGTTGCTGTTGACTGTGTGACCAGCTCTCACTACTTTTGAGGGTCAGACTCCATGGATTTCGTGGTTGCCTCTCTAAGGCACGACACATGGGAAATCTAATTTTTGTTTGGCTTTGCCATTCGCCCTAGGGACATGTAGTCCTGCCTATCGGCTGCGGAACCGTACATGATTCTCAGTGCAATTTAGGTACGGCGGACTGAGTCGAGAGAGATGAACTGGTTCACTGGTTTCGTGTTTTAGCAGTAAGCTCAGTAGGTAGACTGTGTTAAATCTAGATTGTCATGTACATCCTGGCGCGGAGATTTGGATTTTAGGTTGCTGTGAAGTGAAGACGAACTCTCATCTTGATGTATTGTTATCTGTGAAGCACGCTAGTTTTGTGTTCAGTAAAATCAACAAACGTTAAATGTTATTATTATATTTCATTTTGTTTATTCAGAATGGAACTTACAGTACGTGCACATGGTCTGGCTAGGTGCTGCCTATGTGGTTATATTTTGTTGTTGCTGTTTAATTAACTATACACATATTCACTGCCTGGGTCATGAAATATGCTATAACCTCTGCGTGAAAAGAACTCTTGTCATTACTTACATACCCTGGTTTTGCCATCCTGCGAGAAACTACTTATTGGTCCTAACCACATTTCTTTTCTCGTCTGCCTGCTTGTTCGTTCGCTTTTCGCTTTCCGCAAGCTCACATACATACACATTTATCATCGTCCTGTAACACTGCTTGGTCTTCAGTTGCTGTTGACTGTGTGACCAGCTCTCACTACTTTTGAGGGTCAGACTCCATGGATTTCGTGGTTGCCTCTCTAAGGCATGCCACGTATATTTAGATTTTTATTTTTGATACATATGGCGTACCTCGCATGTTTATAGACCGAGTAGCCCCCTAGCAAATCAGCTAATCCTAAACTCTCTCTCTCTCTCTCTCTCTCTCTCTCTCTCTCTCTCTCTCTCTCTCTTTCTTTCATTCACTCACTCACTCTCTCTTACTATTTCCAACTATCACTCACTCCCTCCCACTCTCTATCTCATTCACACACACTCCATCATTCGCCCCTCTCTACTCTTTACTCTTTAATGGCCTTTCTCCTCCTCTCTCTCTCTCTCTCTCTCTCTCTCTCTCTCTCACTTACTCTATATCACACTTTCTCTCTCTCACTCACTGTAACTCTCCCCCTCTCACTTTCTCTTATTCACTTACACAACTACTCTCCCCCTCCTCCCCCTCTCTTTCTCTCTCTCTCTCTCTCTCTCTCTCTCTCTCTCTCTCTCTCTCTCTCTCTCTCTCTCTCTCTCTCTCTCTCTTAAATAGGCTTTTTCCTGACAATTTTGTAAATTGTCTACAACAACAAAGTGACGGGATGGGTAACTGACTTTTCCAATATCATTATGTACGTGCCTAGACATTCATACAGTAAAGTCAGCCATCTGACTGCTTCCTTTCAAAGTTCTGAAAGCATCCATTTGTCCACAGAAAGAAGCTGGACGAAACCACAGCGGAACTGACAAGAACATCGCGGGCTCTGGCCCTGGAGAAGCAGAGAACTGAGAAACTCTTGTACCAGATGCTTCCAGAGAAGGTGGCCAATCAGCTGCGAAACGGAGAGGAAGTTGAAGCTGGTGAGTGCAGCACTTGTTTGTCAGCAGTTATCTTATTCTAGGTTCTCCCACAAAAGGATGGTTGACACCTGTTGTTATGGTTTACAGCTAGGCTAATGTCAGCTAGTTTCAGGCACAAATGTTGTTATAGTATCGGATTCGCAAAGTATGCTCAGGTAAAAAAGTCATAGTTTCTTTGCATTTAATAAATAGTTTTAATCCATAGTTTGCAGATGGTGAGAGTTCCATTGATATTTTGCAAGGACCATGTAGGCGTTTGTGTGAATGAGCAGGCAGATAGGTTGGCTGCACTGGCCCCTCTTAAGAGTATACTGCAACTCTACAAGGCAGAGGTCATCTCTTGCTTGTGGGACAATGTAACAAGTAAAACGGAAGGTACTGGAAACCCGTACATGGAGAGAATGATGCACCAGGAAGTATCTCGCTCAGATCTCAGCAAGACGAATAGTTAACCCTATGACACCTGGCACCATCATTATGGAAACTTTAATCTGGCGGAGGATGAGGACGACGGAGCTAATATGGGCTTGTCCTGAATGCTGTATTGTCGAATCTTTCCCCAGATGAACCCATCTAGGTTGCGATATCTGTGCATTTCGGTCCAACACATCCGATTTCAGTAAGGCTCTAATCACAAACAGTAGATTGCACAATATTTCGTTCTATCTCGTCATGTGAATACTACAGTAACAATTTATTAAAATGGTCGAATAAATCCGGCATCAGCCATTGCCTGCCATATTTTGAATTCTGATTACATTGTAAACAAGGAATATGCATTCCAAATTATTTACACTTAGCCAAACTGATATTGTCGAGATTTTTAGAAGCAATCGATCTAAACCAGTTTAGTACAGAACTACTATGTAGACAAAAGGACATGATTTTTACCATTAATTTACCCCAATGAAACAAACAGTTTTTAAATGTAATGGATTTTTTTTTCCAGCTCGCAGGATTTATTTATTTGCTTCATTTTAATCAATTGTTACTGTAGTCAGCACCTGAGGAGATACAGCTAAATATGCCAGGCAATTAATTGTGCAGTCTGTTGTTTGTGTCTTCTTTGTTTAAAGCTCTAATTAGTGGCCTTTTAGGAAGACACGGCTGTTTGGAACTCATCATCATCATCATCATCATCATCATAAACCACTTCTGCCGTTAAGTGGCGTGGGGAGGAATATTTTGCGATCCAGTGCATGTTGGCTGCCACTAGCTATTGTCATGCAGTGAAGGCACAGAGTGTCTTTAATGTTGTCGATCCATTTTTCCGCGGCCGTCCTCTTGCTCTTGTAGCAGATCTTCTGAGATGTAGTGCTTGTGGTGGTACAAAGTGTCGTTCCCACAGTTTGCCTGACAGTTTCATTATTAATGCTATCTCGGATGGTTGGGTTATTAGAGAATAATGGGTCTATTATTTCTTCCTGAAGATGGGGCCTGAAACCCACTAGGAAGTATATACGCAATGACATGGTTTATAACGTTTTATTGCAAGTCAAGTTCTGCACCATTTGGTGGTGAACTGATGTATGACATGCTGGATGCTGGGCCCTTTGGGAGCGAGTGAACAGTGTCGAGCCTCAGATAGATCATTACGGTCTGAGGAGAATGACACTGCGAGGAGTTACAACGGGATCTGGCCGACGCTCGACACTCAGGGGAAAGGCGAGACGGGTATACAATTAGACAGCTACTGGTACCATCGGAATTTTAACTCTTCGCTTGCTGCTGAAGATATGGACTTTATTAATCCCCCTGGTCTCTGTAGTGAGATCGGAGGCCCGTGTGCACTGTTGCGCACGTAAAAAAAAAAAATTGCCAGTTGGAAATCGAAAAAAGTAGCACAAACGGCCTGCCCGGGCAAAATTTAGAGTTTAAAATCTACCCAAAGTATTTCAGGTTCCCCACCGGTGCTACAGAGCCTGTCCATTGTGCTGAGCTAGAGTTAGAAGAAGAACAGAGCACTTGTGGGTTACTAGCCGTCTGTCATTATGTTGATTCGTTGTTGAAAACCTCAAAATATGGAAACTTTTGGAACAACGTGTATTTTTGTTTCTGCAGAAAAGTTCGACCAGGTGACGGTACTCTTCAGTGACATCGTCAATTTCACAGAGATTGCGGCTGCCTGCTCTCCCTTGGATGTCGTGTCCATGTTAAATGGTCTCTATCACCGGTTTGATCTCAAGAGCAATGAGCATGGCGTGTACAAGGTGAGGCACCGGTTTGGTTGTGCGGATGGTTGGTTGCGTGGATGGTTGGTTGTGTGGATAACTTTCTGTGTTGAGGGTTGGTTGTGCGGATGGTTGGTTGTGTGGATAACTGGCTGTGTTGAGGGTTAGTTGTGTGGATGGGTGGCTGTGCGGATGGTTGGCTGTGCGGATGACTGGTTGTGTGGATAGTTAGATGTTTGTGTGGATGGTTAGCATTGTGGATGCTTTGAATGGTTGGTTGTGTGGATGGTTGGTTGTGTGGATGGTTGGTTGTGTGGATGGTTGGTTGTGTGGATGGTTGGTTGTGTGGATGGTTGGTTGTGTGGATGGTTGGTTGTGTGGATGGTTGGTTGTGTGGAAGGTTGGTTGTGTGTACTGTTTGTTGGTTGTGTGGATGGTTGGTTGTGTGTATTGTTCGTTGGTTGTGTGGATGGTTGGTTGTGTGGATGGTGGTTGTGTGGATGGTTGGTTGTGTTAATGGTTGGTTGTGTGGATGGTAGTTGTGTGGATGATTGGTTGTGTGGATGGTGTGTTGTGTGTATTGTTCGTTGGTTGTGTGGATGGTTGGTTGTGTGGATGATTGGTTGTGTGGATGGTTGGTTGTGTGAATGGTTGGTTGTGTGGATGATTGGTTGTGTAGATGGTTGGTTGTGTGGATGGTTGGTTGTATGGATGATTGGTTGTGTGGATGGTTGGTTGTGTGGATGGTTGGTTGTATGGATGATTGGTTGTGTGGATGGTTGGTTGTTCGGAAGGTTGGTTGTGTGGATGATTGGTTGTGTGGATGGTTGGTTGTGTGGATGGTTGGTTGTGTGGAAGGTTGGTTGTGTGGATGGTTGGTTGTGTGGATGGTTGGTTGTGTTTATGGTTGGTTGTGTGGATGGTTTATTGTGTGGAAGGTTGATTGTGTGTATTGTTCGTTGGTTGTGTGGATGGTTGGTTGTGTGTATTGTTCGTTGGTTGTGTGGATGGTTGGTTGTGTGGATGGTGGTTGTGTGGATGGTTGGTTGTGTTAATGGTTGGTTGTGTGGATGGTAGTTGTGTTAATGGTTGGTTGTGTGGATGGTAGTTGTGTGGATGATTGGTTGTGTGGATGGTGTGTTGTGTGTATTGTTCGTTGGTTGTGTGGATGGTTGGTTGTGTGGATGATTGGTTGTGTGGATGGTTGGTTGTGTGAATGGTTGGTTGTGTGGATGATTGGTTGTGTAGATGGTTGGTTGTGTGGATGGTTGGTTGTATGGATGATTGGTTGTGTGGATGGTTGGTTGTGTGGATGGTTGGTTGTATGGATGATTGGTTGTGTGGATGGTTGGTTGTGTGGAAGGTTGTTTGTGTGGATGATTGGTTGTGTGGATGGTTGGTTGTGTGGATGGTTGGTTGTGTGGATGGTTGGTTGTGTGGATGATTGGTTGTGCGGATGGTTGGTTGTGTGGATAGTTGGTTGTGTGGATGGTTGGTTGTGTGGATGATTGGTTGTGTGGATTGTTGGTTGTATGGATGATTGGTTGTTTGGATGGTTGGTTGTGTGGATGGTTGGTTGTGTGATAGGTTGGCTGTGTGAATGGTTGGTTGTGTGTATTGTTGCATTATGTGTATGATTGCATTGTGTGTATGGTTGCATTGTGTGTATGGTTGCATTGTGTGTATGGTTGCATTGTGGATTGTTCGTTGGCTGTGTAGATGGTTGGTTGTGTAGATGATTGGTTGTGTGGATCGTTCGTTGTGTGGATGATTGGTTGTGTGGATGTATGGTTGTGTGGTTGATTGGTTGTGTGGATGGTTGGTTGTGTGGTTGATTGGTTGTGTGGTTGATTGGTTGTGTGGATGGTTTGTTGTGTGGATGGTTGGATGTGTGGATGGTTGTTGTGTGTATTGTTCGTTGGTTGTGTGGATGATTGGTTGTGTGGATGGTTGGTTGTGTGGATGATTGGTTGTGTGGATGATTGGTTGTGTGGATGGTTGGTTGTGTGGATGATTGTTTGTGTGGATGGTTGGTGGTGTGGATGATTGGTTGTGTGGATGGTTGGTTGTGTGGATGATTGGTTGTGTGGAGGATTGGTTGTGTGGTTGATTGGTTGTGTGGATGGTTGGTTGTGTGGTTGATTGGTTGTGTGGATGGTTGGCTGTGTGTATTGTTCTTTGGTTGTGTGAATGGTTAGTTGTGTGGATGATTGGTTGTGTGATTGGTTGGCTGTGTGAATGGTTAGTTGTGTGGATGGTTGGTTGTGTGAATGGTTGGCTGTGTGAAGGGTTGGTTGTGTGAATGGTTGGTTGTGTGTATGGTTGCATTATGTGTATGGTTGCATTGTGTGTATGGTTGCATTGTGTGTATGGTTGCATTGTGTGTATGATTGCATTGTGGATTGTTCGTTGGCTGTGTGGATGGTTGGTTGTGTGGATGATTGTTTGTCTGGATGATTCATTGTGTGGATGGTTGGTTGTGTGGATGGATGGTTGTGTGGATTATTGGTTGTGTGGTTAATTGGTTGTTTGTATGATTGGTTGTGTGGATGATTGGTTGTGTGGATGACAGGTTGTGTGATTGATTGGTTGTGTGGATGATTGGTTGTGTGGTTGATTGGTTGTGTGGATGGTTGGTTGTGTAGATGATTAGCTGTGTAGATAGTTGGTTGTATTGATGAGTGGCTGTGTGAATGACGGAACCAGAGCATAAGGACAGCTTCAGTCCCAGAAGAGTGGATGCACAGCTACCTGGTTCCACTTCCTAAGCCTGGCAAGAATCATTCCACACTCGGGGGCTTTAGGATCATAACCCTACAAAACACCTTTGGTAAAGTGCTGGAGAAGATAGTGGCGGGTAAGCTACAAGAATTTTTGGAACAGTAATCTCCTTCCACGAGGATTGGGGAGTTACCGGCCGGGGAATGCTGCCACTTTTGCCTTTAATACCTTCGAAGGTATAAAGAACAGACAGGAAACAGTGGCAGTGGCACTTGATTTAGAAGACGCTTACAACAGAGTCAGATTATCCTGATGAAAGCCTTTACGCGAAGGGAGTCTGTCCTTGGTTGGTAAACTGGATAGCAGCCGTTTTGTATACTCGCCGGGTAGCTCACCACCTGGATTCATGGACCTCAGAACCATGTATTATAGCTCCAGGACTACCACAGGGATCTGCAATTTCACCTGTACTATTTAATGTTTTTACGAGCAAGATCGCCTGCCTGTAAACGCCTGGAGTTGGCAGAATATTGACATTTGCAGACGATGTTTTTGTAAATACGAAGGGGAGAGATCGCAATCAAATAGCCGAAGAGTTACAGGTAACAGTAGATAAGGTGATTGACTGGTGTACAGAGATGAGTGCTGTAATTAACCCAGACAAGGCAACAATCCTGTGGTATTCTTTGGACAACAAGATTGTTAGAGCGGATGTTCACAGGCTCAGAATACTGACCTGTGTAGGGGTATGATAACATTGGGCCGGGTGTTCAGAGAGTGGCCAGCGGGTGCTACGGAGGTTGAAGTCCAACAGTTGATTCACGACAATTCACTCCTAGGTGATCTGATTATCTATACAGATGGCTCAGTGTTGAGAGCGGGGGTTGGTAGCGGAAGCCAATGGAAAATTTTTAGTGCAAGGCAGCCCAGCATATGACACCACAAAATCTAGCATGAGAATAGAGGTGCAGGCGTTAACGGCATCTCTCCAGTGGCTAGAGAACAAGATGCCTACACGTGTCGTAATTGTAACAGACTCTGAAAGCATGCTGAAAAAGGTGTGGACATGGATGCTTCGAGCAGAGTGGCTTCACTGGAAAGGTCACGGGTGGTTAGCATACTTTAGATCTTTTATCCAGGCTATGCCGGCGTGGTGGGTAATGAACAGGCAGACAGATTGGCTGGATCCGCACCACTGGGTGATGAATTGATACATGACAAGGCAGATGTGGTCAGTGCCTTTTATGAACAAGCAACTGAATCAGTATAGCAAGAAGATTATTATGGCCTGGAGAGAATGCGGCACCTGGGTGTAACCAGAGGGTCTCTCTGGTCGGCTCACTACACTCAGATGAAAGGCAAGACGGACTTTTAACCAGATTGTGACCGGTACCATCAGTATTTGAACTCTGCGCTGGCTGCTGAAGATGAGGACGGGGTATGCTTAGGAATGCCCTGAGTGCTGTGATGTCAATTCTTGATTCAACTTAATTCAGTTCAACCCAACTCAAAAGTACGCTTTCGTTGAAAAGCTTTCATGTCAAAAATGTTGTTTTTTAATTATCTTTCCCCTTTCAGGTTGAGACCATCGGTGACGCTTACATGGTGGTCAGTGGGGTTCCAGATATCACGGACAAACACGCTCAACTAGTGGCCAACTTTGCTATGGACATGATCAACCAGGCTGCCTATGTTCTGTCTCCGGACACCGGACAACCATTACAGGTTGCTGCCATTGATTTGCTTTGTGGTTATGGTCACAGCTAGTAGCATTTTCAACATTTAAAAGATATTACCAATTAATTATTTCTTCTCTCCTTTTCCTCCTCCTGCTTCTTCTTCTTCTTTTTCTGCTTCTTCTTCTCCTCCTCCTCCTTTCCTCCTTCATCATCATCTTCTTCTTCTCCATCATCCTCTTTTCTTCTTTTTCTTCTTCTTCTTCTTCTTCTTCTTCTTCTTCTTCTTCTTCTTCTTCTTCTTCTTCTTCTTCTTCTTCTTCTTCTGCTTATTCTTCTTCTTCTTCTTCTTCTTCTTTTTCTTCATCATCATCATTATCATCATCATTATTATCACCATCATCATCATCATCTTCTTCTTCTTCTTCTTCTTCTTCTTCTTCTTCTTCTTCTTCTTCTTCTTCTTCTTCTTCTTTTTCATCATCATCATCATCATCTTCATCATCATCATCTTCTTCTTTTTCTTCTTCTTCTTCTTCCTCTTGTTCTTCTTCTTCTTCTTCTCCTCCTCCTTTCCTTCTTCTTCTTCATCATCTTTTTCTTCTCCATCATCCTCTTTTCTTCTTCTTCTTCTTCTTCTTCTTCTTCTTCATCTTCTTCTTCTTCTTTTTCTTTATCATCATCTTCTTCTTCTGTTTTTTTTTTCTTTTTCTTCTTCTTCTGTGGGTTTTACAATCTCTATATCGAATGTGGGTTTTGTAGTCTCCATATACAAGGTAGGTTTTATAATTTCCATTCTGATGTTGGTGTTCCCGCTACAGATTCGTGTCGGCACCCACTCTGGTCCCGTGGTGGCAGGTGTGGTTGGAGTCAAGATGCCCCGCTACTGCTTATTCGGAGACACGGTCAACACAGCGTCTCGCATGGAAAGTCACGCCGTGCCTGGGAGGATCCATATCAGTACAGAGACTTTTGAGTATGTTTAATGTGTTCTGGCACCTTTTTTCAATAAAAACTCAGAGGGGCTTTTTACGTTACTAGTTCGTCGGGCGTATGAGCTAGATGCAGGGCTTCTATTCTCTTGAGCTACGCAACCGTGCGCAGTATTGGCATCTTTCTTGTTGAATCCTTTTTAGTTCAGCGCTAGAGTTATATGGAGCCGCCGTGGTCTAGTGGCTAGACGCTCGCCTGCGGATCGGAAGGTCGTGGGTTCGCTCCCTGGCGGGGGCCGGACTCTTTTTTTTTTTCTCCATAAATGACCCTGGCTTCCAATTCGACCCAGCCTTGAGTGGGTACCAGGTGCAGTCCTGGGAAGTAAAGGCGGCCGGCGTGATGCTGACCTCACTCTTCATTTGCCGATTGGTCTATAAAAAATAGGTCTAGCTCCCATATGCCCAATACGCCTAAAGACGCATTGTGAGGAGCGGTGAGATCAAATGCCTGTTTCTTTTTTTGTTGTTAAGAGTGGGGAAAAGGGGGAGGGGTTGATAATATGCCCTAGCTAAAAGTATCTTAAAGCCAGTCGACAGCTTGATTGTTTATGTGATCAGCATGACCTCTGTATCATTTATATCAGTGATTCTCAAACTGTACGCCGTAGCGCCCCGGGAAGCCGCGACATCTTCACAGGGGCGTCGCGAAATATTCGAAGATACACGAGGTTTTTTTTATAATTTTTTTTTTTTTTTCAAATCTCTTACATACGAATGCGCATACTTTCACTTAGGGTAGGGCGCCGTGAAAATTTGTTTATTGAAAAAAGGTGCTGCGACTAAGAAAAGTTAGGGAAATACTAATTTACATTATTGACCAGCGTAATTTCCTATTCTGGCTTTAGCTTTGCAACTGTCAGCCGTGTATTGTGGGTATCTATTTTCGAATCTAACATCATATGTTTTTTAATAAGAGTGGAAGCGTTAGGGAATATATTCTAGGGGTACGCAACGGTGTGCTGTCCAGGTACCTTTTTCTGTGCAATAATTTTCAGCGCTACTGTAATATACACTTTGAGATGAGTACTGGCAAATTTCACCGACATTTTATGGTGAGTACCGACGCCTATTTTTTTGTTCTACTGGAAAGAAGCCCCGGGGTAGCAAAAATAACTTTCTATATACAATGAATATATTATTGGATTTTACTTCTGCTGCTGCTTCTTCTTCTTTTTCTTCTCCTTTTCCCTCTTCTTATTCTTCTTTTTCTTCTTCTTTTTCTTTTTCTTCTTCTTCTTCTTTTTCTTCTTTTTCTTTTTCTTCTTCTTTTTCATTTTCTTCTTCTTCTTCTTCTTCTTCTTCTTCCTCTTCTTCTTCTTCTTCTTCTTCTTCTTCTTCTTCTTCTTCTTCTTCTTCTTCTTCTTCTTCTTCTTCTTCTTCTTCTTCTTCTTCTTCTTCTTCTTCTTCTTCTTCTTCTTCTTCTTCTTCTTCTTCTTCTTCTTCTTCCTCTTCTTCCTCCTCCTCCATCTTCTTCTTCTTCTTCGTCGTCTTCTTCTTCTTCTTCTTCTTCTTCTTCTTCTTCTTCTTCTTCTTCTTCTTCTTCTTCTTCTTCTTCTTCTTCTTCTTCTTCTTCTTCTTCTTCTTCTTCTTCTTCTTCTTCTTCTTCTTTACTTCTTCTTCTTTCTGTACTCCTAGATGGAATGCCTCGCAGCGTCAGGACAGGAAGATATTTCTGGAACGAGCTTCATATAAAGTACTTACTTATAAGTGTCTCCGTCATTTCCGCGGTTTGTATACTGCATGATCGACCTCTGGGTCTGTTGCTGTTGTATCTGAATAACATCTTTGTGATGCTTTCTCTGTCGTCAATTTTGTTACATGACCAAATCATTCAATCTGTTTTTCTTGTTGCAGATTAATCCGAGGCCACGGCTACATCTGCAGAGACCGAGGGGAGGTTAACGTCAAAGGGAAGGGAGTCATGAGAACTTACTTCCTGATCGGCAGGGAGGACAAGATGATGCCGGAGCCGAACGACGAACATTGTGCTCTTCCGTTTGCCAGAGACAGAAGCAATGTTTCCCGGAATCCACTAGGTAGTACTTTCTTTTCTTACTTCTTATACTGTGTATGCTGTTGTAGGCGTCTGTGGCTTAGGCGTAAATTTCTCCTGAAGATGGAGAAGAAGGAGAAGAAGGAGAAGAAGGAGAAAAAGAAGAAAAAGAAGAAGAAGAAGGAGGAGGAGGAAAAGAGAACAAATAGATAACTGTTAATATTTGTTAAACCACAACAGTCAAAAAATGCTAGTGTTGGTTCTGCATCGTCCTGTAAAGGATACGCAACCAACTTTAAATGCTGTTACCTGCGTCTGTGGCTTATGCGTTGCGCACGCGCTTAGTAATGCCGGAATGCCGGGTTCGATCCCAGCCTTGGACTATTTGTCCAGCGTTGGTTTCGATAGTTATACCGAGACTTGACCGTTGAAGCAATCGAAAACTGCTGAACGGAAAATTTGCCAAGCAAAACCACAGCAGCCAAAACAATGCTAGGGTTGCTTCTGTAACCTACTGTGAAGGAAACCTGTTTGGTTGTTCGATCATCTGTACTTCCTGTGCGGACTCAGATGCCCCATTTGGGTTGGGAAGGGGGGGGGGCGAATAGATACACTGATTCACGAATAAGCATGTCGTAAAAGCGACTAATTAGGGCTTATTCGTCTGAGGCAGGAGCCCATTTGCCTGACACTTGAAGAACCAGCAGTAAGGTAAGATCTGTAGAACGGATGTGCACCAAAACTTCTGGTACAAGACTAAAGTCCAGAAGTGGACAAACAACCAGAATTTTCCACCGGACCTTACATAGGTTGAACTCTATGAAGGAGAATCATCTGTCCCTCTGTCTTTCTGTCTGTCTTTCTGCCTGCATGTCTTACAAGTCATAACAGGCAATAATAAACTGTTAGACCCCCAAACAACACATGCAAAAATATACTGAAAAATCAAATATAGGTAGCCAAACTGGTCTAAAAGACGCTGGCAATAAAACTATAAAACAATTTTAAAATAAAGCTTCACGTAAGGATTCGAATACAGGACATTCAGACCACCAGGTAAGCGTCGGTAAGGATCAACATTCTTCCCCACCCCCCCCCTACCCATTTTTAGGATCAACTTTCCCCCTCCCCATTTTTAAGAATCAACATTCCCCCTTCTCCCATTTTTTAGGATCAACATTCCCCCCCCCCCTCCCATTTTTAGGATCAACATTCCCCCCCCCCCCCTCCATTTTTAGGATCAACATTTCCCCTCCCCCCATTTTTAGGATCAACATTCCCCTTCCCCCATTTTTAGGATCAACATTTCCCTCCCCCATTTTTAGGTTCAACACTCCCCCTCCACAATTTTTATGATCAACATTCCCCCCCCTCCCCCCCCCCCCCATTTTTAGGATTAAAATTCCCCCTCCACAATTTTTATGATTATCATTCCCCCTCCCCCCCCCCCATTTTTAGGATTAACATTCCCCATCTCCCCCCCCCCATTTTTATGAACAACATTCCCCTTCCCCCCCCCCCCCTATTTTTAGGATCAACATTTCCCTCCCCTCATTTTTAGGATCAACATTTTCCCTCCCCCATTTTTAGGATCAACATTTCCCCTCCCCCCATTTTTAGGATCAACATTTCCCGTCCCCATTTTTAGGATCAACATTTCCCTCCCCCCATTTTTAAGATCAATATTTCCCTCCTCCCATTTAAGATCAACATTTCCCTCCCCCCATTTTTATGATCAACATTCCCCTCTCCCCCCCCCCCCATTTTTATGATCAACATTTCCCTCCCCCATTTTTAGGATCAACATTTCCCCCTCCCCCCATATTTAGAATCGAAACTCCCCTCCCCCTTCTGATTCTTCCGGGCACCGCATCTGTTTAGTCGTACATTAAAGGTTTTAGGAAAATACGAGACGGTTATACGGTCAGACAGTTACTGGTGCCATCGGAATTGGAACTATTCGCTTGCTGCTGAAGATCAGGACGGAGCACTTATAGGAATGTCCCGATTTCTGTGATGTCGATTGTTTACTCAACATTTAACGTTTAAGAATACTCATTGTAACTACAAGTTTTTTTTTTTTTTTTTTTTTTTTTTGGGATCTGCTAATACTTTGAGTGTGTCTAAGTAAAGGACCCTTTTGTTCATCGTCCTTTAGCGAACTGGGCATATAGTCATATAGATTAGTTGCGTATCCTTTACAGGACGTTGCAGAACCAACCCCTCAGCCAGGGGCTGTTGTGTGGTTTTTCTAGGCAAATTTACGTCCAGTAGTTTGCCATTGCTTCTGGACGGTCGGCTTTCTTGATACCTCTGTCGAAACCAACGCAAGGCACATGGCCTGCAACTGGGATCGTACCCGGCATCCCGGCATTACGAAGCGTTCGCATCGACTTAGCCACAGAGCCGACATATAGTCATATACCTATTTTTATAGACCAATCGGCACTAGGTGTGTGATGTGTTTAGCATTACGACGACCGCCCTTACTTCACAGAACTTTACCGGCTACCCATTTTGGGCTGAATCGACCTGAGAGCCATGGTCATTTGTTAAAGAAAAAAAAAATTCGGCTCGATGCGAATTTGAATCTACAACCTCCGTACCCAAGGCGAGCGTGTAGTTTCTACACCACGGTAGTAACTAGTAAGTAAAGGTCTCTTTCCCACGCCTCTAGATGTATAGGGCATATAGGGCTAGACCTATATTTTTATAGCCTAATCGGCACAAGATGAGTGATGTGGTCATTATCACGCCAGCCGTCTTTACTTCCCGGGACTGCACTCGGTGCCCACTCAAGACTGTGTCGACCTGGGGGTCAAGCTCAATTTTGAAAAAGTCTGGCTCTGCCAGGGAGCGAACCGACGACCTTCCGATCCGCACGCGAACGTCTAGCCGCTCACCACGTCGGTGTCCAGTGTCATTATGTACATTTGTATTTATTTCTCCTAATATTTCAATAACCTAAAGTTACATCAAGAATTTCCTAATGATTGAGCTAATCAAATTAATGCTGTGTTCTGTTTGAAACCAGGAAGAGCCATTGCCAGTCTACAAAATGGCTATGCCCGGGAGCTACCAAACACGATTCCATCCAACAACAAGCATACCAGTGTGCTCGGCAACAACGAACCTGGCAAATGTGTAGACACAACTACTCAAAAATCAATCAAGGACGGTGTCTGTCCCAACATTCAGTTTACGAACAGCAGTAACATTGGTGTCAGAGACAACGATAGTAAAAAGAATAACGAATGTAAAAACAAGGTTTATATAGTAAAAGAAAAACCTCAAGATATCATTAACAACCATTCTTCTAAAGTTGAAAGTGCACAGTTCAAGGAAACATCGAGGTCACCGGAAAGAACACCACCCTCTCGCAAACTGATCAAAAATACGTCTCGGGTCAGTAGCACCGACCTTGACAGTGGCGTGTCTTTTGCTGATCAGTTGACCTTTCAAGACAATGCAAGTAATTTACCGGATATTGCCTGGAAAGATCCGGGAAATTTAATTAAATTTAGCGAACAGCCTGGGTACGTGAACCATCTCATCAGAGGTGGTCGAGGTGGGGACATGGGACGCTTGCCACTTCACAGCAAAACCTGCGTACTGTTGTGAGCTGTTGCTGTCAATGACGACAGTATGTCAGATCTACTAGTGATTGCCATACAGAACAATCTTGTGGGCCAGGAGTCCCTAGCTATCGACCTACGTTTCTGTTTGGTTGCAGAAACATATTGCCACAGCCATTGCGTGCAGACAGGTGAATTCGAGCGTGTTTAGTCACAATGAAATTAAATAAATGATAGAAACTCTGAATGAAATTAATTGACAATTGTTCACGCTGTTTTTAAATGAGTTTCTTCTTCTTCATCGTCTTCTTCTTCTTCTTCTTCTTCTTCTTCTTCTTCTTCTTTTTCTTCTTCTTCTTCTTCTTCTTCTTCTTCTTCTTCTTCTTCTTCTTCTTCTTCTTCTTCTTCTTCTTCTTCTTCTTCTTCTTTATTTTCTTCTTCTTTCTTCTTCTTCTTCTTCTTCTTCTTCTTCTTCTTCTTCTTCTTCTTCTTCTTTTCTTCTTCTTCTTCTTCTTCTTCTTCTTCTTCTTCTTCTTCTTCTTCTTCTTCTTCTTCTCCTTCTTCTTCTCCTTCTTCTTCTTCTTCTTCTTCTCTAGTCCTGTGGTCCTTTCAGCGTCATGTTTTGAAGAGATGTTGAGTTCGAACTTTCTTACGTTCTTAACACATGCTGATATTAATGGGGTCGGATATTTCATCGATCCATGGCTTGCATGGTCGACCTCTAGCTCTGCTTCCGTTGTGTCTAAGTGACAGAGTTTTATATGGTGCACTATCTACTGGTAACTTCATCAGCGTCAGCCGATCAGCCGACCAAGATCAACACTATCAGCATAACAACAGCTAAAGCCCAATCCTACGCTTAGGGGAATCATGAGCTATATATGCAGCATCCCGATAATCGTACTATCAGTATTTCTGTGGTCTCTCCTTCACCGCAACAGTGGTAAACGCAGACTGTAATGACAGTGTCTGTTTTCTATATAGCGAAATATTTAAGGGATAGCTAACGTGGTGAAAATAAATGCCTTAGAAGAATACTAAATTTCAAATGGTCAGATTTCCGAACAAATACACAAATAAGGCAAGAATCCAGGCAAGAGTATGTGTCTAATTTTATACGAAAACGCCGCTGGAACTATGTCGGCCACGCCCTTAGAATGGATAAATCAAGACTTCCTTACCAAGCCCTCATTTGGACACCACAGGGGAAAAGATCTCGTGAAAGATCAAGGGAAACCCTACGTAGAACTACCATCAGGGAAGGCTCGCTCATGGGCCACTCAAATATCCAAGACCTACAATGGATTGCAACGAACCGCTATGCATGGAGAGTCATGACCTCTGCCCTATGTGCCGCACTCGACACAAGAGGAAAGACTAACTAACTAACGTGGCTAGATGGACCAAATCTTATTGACTACCCAGTCACACCACATGGCTGATGAAGGAAGTTGGAAAAAGAGGCATCAGGTGGTCATTCACCTTTGTTTTAGAGGATTTAGACTAAGCAGATGACATCAGCCTTATATCAAGCCGTCCTGTGAACGCTCAGGACAAGATTGAAAGACTTTCAACAACAGCCCTTAAAATAGGACTCAAAATAAACACCAGTAAAACTAAAGCAATGAGAAATAATTTCAAACCAGAAAATCCAATTATCTTAAATGATAAAGCAATAGAGGAATGTAAAGAATTTATATACCTCGGAAGTAAATTTACTCCAGATGGAGATTCTGAAAAGGATGTAACATCAAGAATAAACAAAGCAAATCAAGCATTTGCCATGCTTAACAATACATGTAAGTCAAAAAGATTTAATTTGAAGACAAAACTCAGAATATACAAGAGAAAGGAATATTAAACATTATAGTGGATGCATTTGATTGTGACAACACCACAAACTATGGACTAATATGAAAAGTATGGCGTTCTCAGCACATTTAGTGCATTAAATTGAAAATCTTTATCATGAACAACAAGCAGCCATCAGAGCACCTGGTGAAACATCGGATTGGTTCGAGGTGCAAAAGGGGGTGAGGCAGGGGTGCATTCTCTCACCATATCTATTCAATATATACTCAGAAAATTTAATGAGAAATGTCAAAAATGACCAGACATGTGACTGTTATGATCCGCTCAAAATTGGTGGCAACCCTATTCAGGAACTTCGCTACGCAGATGACAGTCCTCCTTTCGAACAGCGTAAAAGGAATAGAAAATTTAATAGTGTCTTTGAAAAAGCACAGTGAAGATCAAAATCTGTTCTTGAATTTAAAGAAAACGAAAATAATGTCCACAGATAAAACTGGTTGCACCCAAAAATAACAATAAATTATGAAGAAATTGAAAATGTCACAAACTTTGAATATCTAGGCTCTATAATAAACAGCAATGGAGACTGTTCGACAGAAATTAAAAGGAGGATGGCCATAGCAATGCAAAGATTGAATAGCCTTAAAAGTCTATGGTTAAGCACCAGCAAGGAGATACAAATTAGAACTTTTAGAGCATGCATCTTCCCTGTGGCTATATACGGATGTAAGTCGTGGACTGTTTCTCAGTCCTTAAGAAAGAGAATAGGGGATTTTGAGCTGAAATGCTATAGAAAGATTCTCAGAATATCTTGGACAAAGAAGATGAGAAATATTAACATCTTAAAAGATCTGAACATCAAGGAAGATCGGCTTATAAACAGTATCCTTTCTCCGAAGCTGAAATATTTTGGTCATACCAATCGCCACCACGAATTGGAAAAAAAATTATAGCAGAAGGCATGGTATCAGGAAGGAGGGACAGGGGCCGACCGACATGAAGATGGGCACAGGATATAAGTGACTCCTTGAGTATGAAAGTGCATGAGGCGGGAGAACTGGCGAGAGACCGAGTTTTTTTCAGGCAGACTGTGATGAGAGCGACATTCTGCAAAAGACCTGCTACATGATGATGATGATAGTGAATGTTGGAAAATGGCAGCGGGAATTACACATAAACTTGACACTTTTCAAAATACATTTTAAGGAGAATTCTACGAATATTTTTGCAAAACAAGATCACAAATGAAGAACTGAGGAGGAAAACAGAATGTGCATCACTGGCAAATGTTATCAAACTAAGACGATGGAGATGGCTTGGACATGTTTGCAGAATACCTTGTGACACTCTGGTAAAAACAGCTCTCCATTGGACAGCAGATGGGAAAAGAAGACGTGGAAGACCTATAGAAACCCGGAGAAGGACAGTAGAACAGGAAATGAAGAAAAGTAAACTGACATGGGATACCATGGGCAGAAAAGCAATGGGGACCACTTGTGAATGCCTTATGTGTCAACAGCCATATAAAGAGGATTTAGAGTCAAACACATAAAAAACAGTTGTATGAAACCTTTTTGTGAGTTTTTCGTTTTTCTAAAATAGTGTTTATTTATACTGAATATATGTAAATTGTGTGGCAATTACCATTACATGATGATAGCGTGTCAGACAACGTATCTAATAAATGACTTTGTCCATCAATGTTATGTCTGTCCTTGGTAATGTGGATACAGATATAAAGTTTTATATGTTTATGGTCCACATTTTAGTAACTTTTTTTGAAAGCTTTTGTCCTGTTTTATTTTTTTTTTTTAAAGGTGTAGGAAGCATTGCGTTAGACAGATAACATACAGAGTTTATTCTGTGTGTCCCAATCGACGCACTAAATGTGTTCGGCTGTTGTCGATGCTTTCAAGTGGTCACAAATTAAAGGATTCACTTGATAGCACAGCTTCTTTTCCACTTCTCTCTCTCTCTCTCTCTTTCTCTCTCTCTCTCTCTCTCTCTCTCGCTCTCTCTCGCTTTATCTCTCTCTTTCTCTTTTTATCTCTCTCTCTCTCTCTCTCGCTCTCTCTCTCTCTCTCTCTCTCTCTCTCTCTCGGTCGAAGGGTGGGTCACCTGATGTGAGCGTGATGCAAGGTAAGACGAATTCCTCAACTCCAGCGACGTCCTCAGGAGATCTCCTGAATAGCCGCACGCTTGAACCAAACAAAGTTATCAGATAACTAACAGAAATAAATAGCTGGGAGGACCATAAACGTTATAAAAGCTTTGTGATAAACAAATTATATGTATTGATTTGCCCTTTTAGAAAGACGTAGCAATCGGGAAAGAGGAGCGGGGTACTCTGGACACAAACATCGTAAGCTATAGCTACCATCAGGGCTTTTTTACCCTAGGATAAAGGTGCCGGTGCACTTCACAAAGTTTCTATCACAATAGCTCTGAAACTGGTACTGCGTGACTTTTCCTACAGTAAGACGAAAAGAGCTGGTTACTATAAGTAAAAGAAGTAAGTAAAGGACCCTTTTCCAAGCCTTCGGGCGTATGGGCATATAGGGCTAGACCTATATTGTATAAAGCAATCGGCACTCGGTTGGTGACCTGGTCAGTATCATGCCGGCCGCCCTTACTTCCCAGGACTCCTGGTACCCACTCCAGGCTGGGTGGACCGGGTAGCGAAGGTCATTTTTGAAAGAAATCCAGCTCAGGACTCGAACCCATTTTGATCCGCAGACGAGCGTCTGGCAAAGTACCAAACAAATAACATGAATACAGCAGGATTTTCAGTCCAAGTTCACCCGTTGGCAAATCAGTTTCACTCTTTTACAAATACATTTCACCATTTTCCAAATCAAATTGACTCTTATGCAAATAAAATTCATCCGTTCATAAATCAAGCAGATAAATATGATTTGCTTAAGAGTGGTTTGGGCCTGCCAGTAGCGTGTAAGTGAGTATTACAGAATCTTTGGACCCAACAAAGATGCAAACAGCCGGGAATGGAGAGTGAGAATCAACAACGACATGTATAATCTGTTTAAATCATCCTTTATCATTGGCATCATGAGAGTTATTAGAGGGGGGGGAAAAAAAAAAAAAAAAAAAAAAAAAAAAAAAAAAAAAAAAAAAAAAAAAAAAAAAAAAAGGGGGGGGGGGGGGGGGGGGGAAAAAAAAAAAAAAAAAAAAAAAAAAAAGGGGGGGGAAAAAAAAAAAAAAAAACAAAAAAAAAAA